TTGATTGGGGACTAAAAAGATGCCCATTAAAAGAAATAGAAGGGGATCGTCCACCGTGGCGCATCCTACATCCCCCTTCTCAGGGAAGACTTGAACGGGGGGGTGAGCTAAGGCCTTCCCGGGATGGTAGAAATCAAAGGGCCATTAAAAGACTTAATCACCCGGAAGAGGGGGCCCTGGAAGAAGGGTGCATTTGAACTTTGGAGAGGGTTCGAAACCATTCGACATGGTTAAATCTCCAGTATTCTTACCGGTTAAGGATACTACAAGAATTTCTAGGTTATAGGTGTTTCCATCTACAACCTACCGATAAAAAAAAAAAAAAGTACCCCGGTCAGGTATGGGCACAACAAAACTTCGAAAGTTATACGTCCGTCGGAAGGCAAGGCAGTTGCCCAGTCAAACCGTGGAGTGGGAATTCAAAAAAGTACCCCGGTCGGGTATGGGCACAACAGAACTTCGAAAGTTCTACGTCCGTCGGAAGGCAAGGCAGTTGCCCGGTCAAACCGTGGAGTGGGAATTCACCGGTCAAATTAAACTCTACCAAAAGAATTTGTGAAGCCATCCAAAAGACAAGAGTAAAATTCTGCCGGTCAAACTTTTAAAGTTGGCCGAAACGGTGAAGACGTTCGAAAAGCAAAAATTGAAGTTTAACCGGTCAAAGTTTCTCGGGCTGACCCTTGAAATAAAGTGACCAGAGAGAACTTTGAAGTAATACCAGTCAAAGGAAGTATGGTGATTGATTATTATACCGGTCGGGTATCCTATGATGGCGTTCTAAGAGGCAAAGATCAAAGTATCAATCAACAAGTAAGCAGATATGAAAGATTAACCGGGTAGGGAAATTGGGCATTGCATTGAAGTAGAACAAAATAGTTAAGTGTTTTACAACTACACCGGGCATTCCCGGGGAAATGAGTTTAAAGTCTTGCCAAAATAATTCAACCGGTTGCAGCCGGGAAGATTACTCAAGAGGAAAGGGAGGCGCAGGCTCTTCATCCGGGATGGGGGCCAGACCGTATGATTCAGCATTGAAGTCCGGATCCCGGTCGGCAAGGATCGCATGGGTGGCCTCCCGATCTCGTTTTTGGCCGGACATGAAACCGTAGGAGCCGATCTGGGTGATCATCTCTTTCCCTTGCTCCTCCCGGTACAGCAACTTGAAGCCCTCCATTGTCCTTTCCTCAGAGGAAGTAAGCACCCGGGCGGCCTCCACCAGGTTCTCCTCCATCCACTGTCTGGCCCGACCGGGCAGCTCTTGCTCCATCACCCACGCCTCCTCCTTCAGGTGGGAGACCTCCCCCATCAGCAGCGAGTTCTCCTCCTTCAGCTGGAGGACCTCCGCGTTCGCCCTACCGGCAACCGCCGAGAGGTTGGCCATCTCGTCAAGTTGCCGGGCGGTCAGGTCTTGAAGCTCCCGGTTGTGGGCTTCAAGCCTCTTCAGCTTTTCCTCCAGCTGAAGTCACCGGGAAGGGGAGTCCTCGGCAAGCTTCCCCAAGGTTTCAGGCCCGACCTCACCCATCTGCAAAACCAAACATACCGGTTAGTACGGCAAGTAAGTAATAAAACGGAGGAAAGTGTACCGGGTGGATGTTACCTTTTTTAGCTTTCGGCCCATCTTGACCCAGAGCTCCTCTAGCGACTCTATGGCCGGGACACTTTCTCCCCTCCTCCTCTTTGCCGAGGGGTGGGTAGTGGCGGCGTGCTTGGTTCGGACCTTCCCCTTCCCTTTGTCTAGGGGAGGGTTTACTGTGGTCCTTCCGGCCTGACCGGTCGGAGGAGTTTCCTCCTCGGAGTTGATCTCCACCGGCTCCTGTTGCACTGGTACGGTTCTTGGGGCAGCAGAGGAGGAGCCACCGGTCTTCTTGGTGGGGATGTTGAATGCTCTGAAGTTCATCTCTGCAAAACAAGCGAAAATATTAATCAAGCATGGACCGGTATATAGAAAGAAAGAAGGAAGAAGAGGAAAGGGGGATACCTGGGTGACAGGAACCCCCAGCTTCCGCAGTGTTGCCCGGGGCGGGTACCCCGTGCCCCACTGCTTCATCAGCCCGGGGGGTACCCATGCCACCCGGTGAGATCCTCCAAATCCAGGCCCCGTAATGGAACATTTGCCCGGTGAACGGGTCCCCTTGTAAGAGCTTCTCCAAACTTTCTTCCAAGTCTCGAGCGTTAGCCGGCTCAGTGTACTGCGGTTTCAAGAGGTGGTCACTCCACTTTATGCCGGCCAGAGGGGAAACGATGGGGAATTTTATAAAGACAAATTTTTCCTTCCACAGCCGGTTGCTTTGTGGAAGGTCAGAAATGAATTGGCGACCGTTACGGCCCTTGAAATAGACATAGCCGTCGCAACCCGACTTACCGGGAAGGACTTCAAACAAATAGAGGAAAAAGCGAAGAGAAAGGTCGATTTTGAGATGGGAAGAGATATTTACAAAAGCGTTAAGAAAACGGTGGGCATTGGGCGTAAGTTGCCCGGGGAGGATCTTGAAGCAATGGCACAGCTCGACCAGGAGGGGGCGAAGGGGGAAGACGGTGCCACTCTCCAGGGAGATGATATGGAATCCTACCCTATCGTCCGGGTGAGGCTCGATGATATTGCGCCAGTTAGGGTCGTATTCAAGGACATACCCCTCCGGGAGATTCCTACGGGCTTTGTTCTGGGCAATCTTAGAGACCCAGGGGTAGATGTCAAGCGGGTAGCTGGAAGGGAGAGGAAAATAACCGGCGACATCCAGCCGGTTCACCCATCCCTCATACGACTCGCTGTCAGGGTCATAGGGAGCCGGCTCATCGTCAACCGGTTCATCCCTCTCCTGAGAAACCTGACCGGGCATCTGGTTAACAGGTTGTGGTTCAGGGACGGTGGTGTTGGGGCCTGACCGGGTCTCGAAACTGGATAAAGAGGACCCGGTCAAAGAAGAGGAGGTTGAAGATTCCTCGGATGCGCAGGCATCCGAGGAAGAAATACCTTGACTATCAGAAGAAGACATTGACTGGGAATGAAAACTGAAGAGGGAAGAGAGCTTACTTGGCTCGGAGGGCTGGAGGGCAGGAGAGAGAAGTTGACCGGTGAAACTCGAGAAACGCGCGAGGAAGAAGTGAGGAAGGCAGTGGGGATGGAAGCCTTTATATAGGCGAGGAAGAGAGAGAGGGAGGCGACGTGGCTTCACCAGGGCGCGCCGCGTCAGGCGGCGCCATCATTGCACCTGGGAAGACGAAAGGGCGCAGGTCTGACGCCGTCCAGCGGGCAACACGTGTCATAACCGACACTTTGAATTTTGAAATTCAAAAATTTCGAGCGGGAAAAGCCAAAAATTCAAATTTAAAGGTCCAGTTTTAAGTTTTTACTTCCCGCTTATGACAAAATTGCACAACCGAGAAGTGGAGGGCTTAATGATGGGTGTATTTCACCCATGACCGGTCAACGGTCAAGACCGGATAGTTGACCGGTCAAAGAAGTCAAACTTGCAAGAGAGGTCTAGATCGTCGGCGAAGGGATGACTGGTTGACCAAAAGGTTGACCGGTATGCTTAGGATAGTATACCGGTCAAACTATACCGGCGACTAATTCACCCTACAAAGATGGCCACGCCAACCTGCAAGAACCAACCGGTGTAGTTCCTAGAGA